CTCCCAATCACTCCAGAGCAGACAAAAGTGCAGGTAAGTAGGGAAGAAAGGTGATTGGGTAAGCAAATAAATCTTTCTCTCTTTCTGCTCTATTGTTGACACACATCTTGTTCTTTAATTTCTTTTTTAAAGAAATTATTGCCAAGTTCCCACGACCTAGAAAACACATCTTATTCTTTGAGTCACTTTTTCACTGGACTCAGCTTTACACTTGAAAACACAGCAATAACAAAGGATTAAAAAATACATCAAAGTATTTTTGGCTTGATTATGTGCTTGATTATTTGGAATGTGGCCAAAAGCCTTGCTGCATTCCACTATTGCAGTCAAGTGGCTTCTGTTGGAAGCGTATCCAGGTGAAAGGAATGAAAATAAATATCTCTGTTTCAACTCGTCTTCATCATCATGGGTCTTTTTGTTGTTGTATTATAATTAATTTTGTGAGAATAATGTTTCTAGCTATTTGAAACTCTTCACGTAGAGTTTCTACAAGATTGCATGGCATTGAATTAAACAGGCATGTATTAGTTCATGATCACACTGCCATAAATAACTACCTGAGACTGAGTAATTTATGAAGAAAAGAGGTTTAATTGACTCACAGTTCCGCGTGGCTGGGGAGGGCTCAGGAAACTTCCAATCGTGGTGGAAGGGGAAGGAGAAGCAAGGTATGTCTTCCTATGGTGGAGCAAGAAAGAGAGTGAAGGGGAAACTGCCTCACACTTTTAAACCATCGGATCTCGTGAGAACTCACTCACTATCATGAGAACAGCATGGAGGAAACTGACCCTATGATTCAGTCACCTCCCACCAGGTCCCTCCCTCACCACGTGGGGATTACAATTACAGATGAGATTTGGGTGGGGACACAGTGCCAAACCATATCAGGCCAATATAACCTTTTAACAAGATGAATGAAAGTTTTCTATAAAAGACCCCTCCCTGCAACATTTGGAGAATAAGGGAAATATCTTGTTGATAGGAATGTGAACTGAGAACCAAGGAAGTGCCATATTTATTCTATTATTGTTTTGATTTGTTATATGAGCTTGTATAAATGTCCTCTAAGCTTTAATTTTGCCATCTGTGAATAGGGGACAGAGTGTTCTTTCTATGTTATGTTCACATGGGCACTACAATAAAAGCAATAAACTAATGCAAAAGGAAGACATTATTTCTTAGACCACAGTAGTCTTGATTGACATTTGAAATTCTTTTACAGCTCCAAATTCTGTGATTCTAAATAATAAAATGTTTTCACTCTTTCCAACCACCATGTTTAAATATACTGTAAAATCTAAAGACCTCTTTCATCTTACAGTAAGCCAGGCTATAATTTTTGATATACATAAACTGCCAGGCTCCTGTTTTCTCTCTTTATAGTCAAAGCTGAACATATACTTCTTGGAACTTTCTGCCTCCTCTCTCTCTCCCCCAAAACCCAAGGATTAGGTGGATTTTTAAAATTTTCAACCAGCCTGGCCAATGTGGTGAAATCCCGTCTCCACTGAAAATGGAAAAATTAGCTGGGATTGTTGGCGCATGCCTATAATCCCAGCTATTCGGGAGGCTGAGGCAGGAGAATTGCATGAACTCAGGAGGTGGAGGTTGTAGGGAGCGAAGATCACACCACTGTACTCCAGCCTGGGTGACAGAGCAAGACTCCATCTCAAAAAAAAAAAAATTAGCTGGGCATGGTGGCATACACTTGTAGTCCCAGCTACTTGGGAGGCTGAGGTAGGAGGATCACTTGAGCCCAGAAGGTCAAGGCTACAGTGAGCTATGTGATTGTACCACTGTACTCCAACCTGGGCAATAGAGCAAGACTGTCTTGAAAAACAAACAAAAACAAAACAATTTCTTCCCCTCTCATCAGAAGGATGAAGCCAATCTCTATGAAATGGTAGACTCCTAATGAGAACATTACCCAGTATTGAATATTATGGTATAGAACATTATTACTATTGTCATAGAAAGAAAAGGCTAATGCAATATAATACGTAAATTTATTTTTATTTTCAGATTTTCCTATCGAAAGCACTACTCCCCAATTTAATTCGTCTTCTCAAAGCTTTGAAAGCATCATCAGATTAAAAAAAAATTAGTGTAAATTGAATGTTTGTAGAGCTCACTGACCCATTGCTATAGGTAAGTTCTCATTAATTGTAACAGACTAAATGCCATCAATTCTTGCCCCTGACAGCTCAGCCCCCTGACACCTTCCCGTGTCTCCCATTACGAGAGGTCCAATAGGGTGTGCTCCCCACGTGCACTGAGCCCTACTTCAGCTCTGTGGGCTGGGCAGACTCTGCTGCCTGTCCTTCTAGGGGTACCAGAGTCTGTCTTGGGGCTCCAGTGAGTGTTGTCCCGCTCCTCAGTCACTGCTGCTTCTCCACTTGGTGGATTACCAATACACCCAAGGAGCCAAAGTTGTCCCCCTTCCGTTTCTGTTATACTCTGTTAGAGCAGTCCTAAAATGATGCCACTGGTGCCTTGGTATTTTGCAGAGATTTGGGGAAGTAGCCATTTGGTTTTTTTTTTATCTGCTGGCTTCCTGATCTATGTGAGTCACACATGAAGAACATCAAAGTAGGGAGAGAGGCAGAGACATCTGGGCCAAGAACCGGCACCCTTCATACTCAGGACTGCCCCTCTCTTCTGACAACCAAGATTTCATCCTAAGAAGATGTCTCCCTCATTTTTTTAAATTTTTAACTTCAGGGGTACATGTGCAGGTTGGTTACATAGGTAAACATGTGTCATGGGGGTGTGTTGTACAGATTGTTTCACCACCCAGGTATTACACCTAGTACCCATTGGATATTTTTCCTGATCTTTTCCCTCCTCCCACCCTCCGCCCTTGATAGCCCCAGTATGTTTTTTTCCCCATGGGCCCGTGTGTTCTCATCATTTAGCTCCCACTTGTGAGAACAGCGGTATTTGGGTTCCTGCATTAGTTTGCTAAGGATAATGACCCCCAGCTCCATCCATGTCCCTGCAAAGATCTCGACAGAACTACAGTTCAACCCAGCAATCCTATTACTGGGTATATGCCTGAAGGAATATAAATCATTCTATTATAAAGACATAGGCACATGTATGTTCACTGCAGCACTATTCACAATAGCAACATGGAATCATCCTAAATGTCCATCAGTGATAGACTGGATAAAGAAAATGTGGTATATTTACACCATGGAATACGGTGCAGCCGTAAAAAAGATCTCTCTTTTCTTGACACAAATGATCTAGGAGACTTCAGTCACCCCCACCAGAGCTTTCCTTCAGGTCTCTGCACTAATTCACCCAACAAGCCTGAACTTCCTGCAGTGGGTACGTCCCACACATAAGCTGAGATCCCTGCTAAGTGAAGATTTACTCTTGTTCTAATGAAAACCACTCCAGACCACAGGGGATTGAACTTGAGGTTGAGGAACTGTGGGTTGAAGATAGGAGGAATGTGAAACCAGCAGTGAGGACTGGTCGGGGAGGGGAGGCTGGGAAGATTCCCAGGAGGACGCCTGGCGGTGCGGTTCCTCTCTTCACTCAGGCTCTCATTCTCTCTGCAGAATGACATCTTCGAGTGGTCCAGGGACCACCGAGCCCACCACAAGTACTCAGAGACGGATGCTGACCCCCACAATGCCCGCCGGGGCTTCTTCTTCTCCCATATCGGGTGGCTGTTTGTTCGCAAGCATCCGGATGTTATTGAGAAGGGGAGAAAGCTTGACGTCACTGACCTGCTTGCTGATCCTGTGGTCCGGATCCAGAGAAAGTAAGTGAATGGGCATGACAGAGAGCTGTCCCTCAGGGGCCAGGACATAGAAACAGCACAATGAGGTGGACTCATAACCCCATAGCAATCTTCTCAAGCATTTGCCCTAACAATTTGGCCATATTTATATGATTTATCTCTATTTATTAATTTCCTTTTGCTCATTAAATTTTGCCCATTGGCACATTTGTTTTGAGTTATAAGTTTCATTTGTAATGGATTTCCTTTAAGCCCAGTGTCATTACCTTCAGACTAATCTTGCATGGCTGATTTCATGGAATCTGTTTCTGTGTTTCCCCACTGCCCCATTCGTGATTCTCTGGAGTAGCAGAAGAGGGACTTGCTTCATTTTAGTGACACACTTGACTCTACTTGACTCCAAAAGGACTGGACTCTCTCCAGGTATCCTACTCCTGTTCTGAAATTCTCTTGTAGTGAAACCTCTCCCCCACCCATCACTCATGGAAACGTTACACTAGTAGGTTTCTGTGCAGAGAAAATGAGACCGCTCAACAGAGGGCCTCAAAGCACTCATATGCCCTGATGGTGTCGGCTGAGCATATTGAGTTGGCCAGCATTTGCAGGATGAAACTGCTTTCTATAAGCACATGAAGAAAGAGTGCCTATAATCGTGCTGGCAAGTAGAGAGTGACCTTTGTTCTCAAGTTGGTCTGGGTCTGCAAAGTTTGGCTATGATGAGCTTTTAGCACCTAAAGCAATAGATTTATGTGCAAAGATGGGCAACATGTGAACCACGCTCTAATTAGAGCCTTGAGACAACATGTTGAATAAGCGGTTCCTAGTGACCATCTCCACTGATGGGTAGGAGTCATCCGAGGACTTACCTAAACAGAATCTCCTTTTCAGTCTGAAAATAGACATGGAGGCCATGCCTTTGTTCAACACAAGAATCTTTGCGTGAAAGGAAGAATGGCTTAGGACTGTGCTCTTTTCCCCCAAAGCCTCTGCTTTTACACTGGAGGGAGCAGTAGACATAGTGAGAAACTGGCAGACCATGGAGACAGACTGCTGGAATCAAAGTCTCTGACTCCTCCACTTACTAGCAATGAATTAACCACTCTAAGTCTCAGCTTCATCTATACAATGCGAGTGACAGTAATACCTATCTCCTACAGCTTTTATGAAGATATTTTTAAAATGTATGGAAGATGCCTGGCATATAGTAAGAGCTTAGTGAATGTCAGCAATTATTATTATTACACAGGCAGTTGCTAGACTAGAGAATTCTCTGTGTTTCCATCACTGCTTTCTGCTGGTTTCACTGTAGGGTTTTCTCTGTACATCTCAATACAGCTCTTTTAGGTGAAAACACCCAGTATCAATTCAGCTCTTTTAGGTGAAAATACCCAGTATCAAGTTTTAAAGCAGAAAATAACAATATGTTGTTTTTTTCTTTTTTTTTTCTGGAAATGGAGTCTTGCTCTGTCACCCAGGCTGTAGTGCAGTGGTATGATCTTGGCTCACTGCAACCTCTGCCTCCTGAGTTCAAGCGATTCTCCTGCTTCAGGATCCCAAGTAACTGGGACTACAGGCATGCACCACCATGCCTGGCTAATTTTTGTATTTTTAATAGAGACGGGGTTTCACCATATTGGCCAGGCTGGTCTTGAACTCGTGACCTCAAGTGATCCGCCCTCCTTGGCCTCCCAAAGTGCTGGGATTACAGCCGTGAGCCACCGCGCCCAGCCAACAAGATGTTTTCAATTAACAATTCAATGATTTATTGATGTTGATTTTCATTGTGAGTGTAAAATATTAAAGGTCATTAGAGAAAAAGCTGAAAAATTCAGAGAAGTAGAAAGAAAATCATTCACAGTCTTAACAGATAAACAGACACTATTAATATTCAGTAGTATCTCTTTCTATTTCATATATGTTGCATGATGGCAGTCATATCACATATGTAATTTTATGTTTCACTCTTAACCTCAGATTGTATTGTAGACACCATTGTCAAAGGCTGCAGAAGATTCCATCAGTTGAGCATGTCATAGTTTATTTAACCATCACTCTGGTTAGCTATGTATGTCATTTCCAATTCTGTGATACAAATGATGTTGCTGTATAGAGTAATGCTTTGGGACAATCGGACCTTAGATTAATTTGAAGAGTTCAGATGAGAAGGCAAAAGATTTTCTGTTTTATTAATGAGAAATGAGCCGGGTATAATAGTCTGGGTTTCTCTGACCATAAAAATGGAAGACTTTTTTCATCTTTTCTCACAAAAAAATGTAATCTGATTCATTATGTGTGTACTGGCAGCACATATGTCTAAAGACTATTTCTAAATGCAGGAAGAAGAACAAAGACTATTTCAGCAAGTTCCCTGAATAGTCATCTGAGAACATCTTTCATCACCAGTTCAGTGACTAAAGGAGGCTTTGGCTATCAGAAACCATTCATTCATATCATCATGTCACATATATCATTGAGCTCCTGCTGGGAATCAGTGCTAAGGATACAGCCTAAAATTTAGAACACATTCTAAACTATAGAGGTCACCCCTAGTTGCCTGGTCTAGCCCCAGAATGATTAAGGTAGAGGAATACTGCTCTTTGAGAGTACAGGCCAAACAGGGGAGATATGGCTCTGGATCATGTAGTTTGCATGTTAAAGGCATGCTCCTGGCGGGACCCTTTATTATCTCTAAGAATTGCCTAGGCCCAGGAAGGCCAGGCTTTCCCCAGCCAGAAAGGTTTTTAAGATGTCAAAACGTCCTAATATGTATGTGTGTGTTTGTGTAATACATCCTGTGAGCAAACTAGTAAAATGTAGATAGAAAGATGAAGCTAGAAGTACATGCATCTTAGATTATTCACTCAATGTTCTTGTGATTATACTTTACTGTTTGAAAGGGGCTCCAGCAGTCCTCAGATGTGTGGGTGAGCACTGAAGTCCTGTGGTAATTATACAGCATAGAGAACATAGAGATCTGTAATCCAAAATAAGGTTTAGAATCACTGAACTAAATGAAGCAAGTTTCCAAGATGCACAGAGGCAGTCAACTGTTCAGATATTTTCATGTTTGTGAAGCTGGCTTTACTGGTCCTGTCAGTTAGGCGGTGGAGAGGAGAGAGTTCTCATAGGAATTGAAGTCATTATATGTGGGGATATGAGCTGAAGGGGTGGATCCTGGTGTCAGGCACTGTCACAGCAGATCTCAGTTCTTGCTACCCTGGGCTGAGTGGAGAGCTTCCTGAGTAACAGAAAAAGGTGTCCAGCTGCATTTGGGGCCCAGACTTAGGTCATTTCAGTGGCACACTTCTCGTGGGCTGAATCTCCACCTGCTCCTGTATGATTTTCCTAGAGGAACCGTCCCTATTCCAGTTGGAGGCAATCAGAATTCATAGCTGACTCTACCACACTCCCAGGGCGCAATGCTTGTGCAGATCAATCAGCTAAGTGCCTCTTGGAGAGTTTACTCAAACAGGTGATAGAGACTGAGGATTTAGAGACTCCTCCTTCAGTCCACTCAGGACACTCACACTGATATTGCAGTTGATTGATAAACTTTTGCTGAGCCATCCTAATAACAACTTACTAAAGAAAAGCTTGGCAGAGAGTCATTCTTAATCAGCTTCCCATTGTACTGTCTTATGGAAGAGAGAAGGTAGGAGCAGGAAAACAACACATTTCAAACTATACTTCCAGACCCTAAAAGATAATCTTACCAAGGCTGTCATAACAAGTAGTTAACTGGACTAAACCACATTTTGCTGCACTGTCAATGTGTAAATTGTGTAAAGGCAGCCATTAGGAGGTGCAAGGGAGAGAAGCCAGTGGTATTGCCTCTAGGCTCTGACAACTAGGGCCCCTGTCCTAGGTCTTATGACTTAAAGGGCCACACTTCTTTCCACAGAGTGAGGAGATCACAGGGCCAAAGGAACATGCCACCTGCCTAAACCTTCCTTGACTTCTGGGCCATACCCTGGATTCCTAGGGTCCTCGATTCCTGCCTAGATGCTCTGAGCTCACTTCTAGAGCCTATAGCTGCCTCCTCCTGGGATGTGTCCTCCCAACAGGACATACATAGAGCCTAGGCCTGAAGAGTGGCCACGGGGCAATGTTAGCACAGGGACTTAAGCTTAAAAGTGTGAGCTCAGATATCCACCTAATGGGACAGAGCAAAAGGGGAAAGGAAAAGGAATGAACCACAGGCTAGGGATTTCCACCTATACCCCTGGCCTGAACCCTGCAAATGTTGGGGTGAACCTGTCAGTGAGCCATTCATAAGGTTGAGCGTGGATCCATCAAGAATTGTGTTTGGCTTGAACGAGACAGAAGGTTATTTCTCTTACATATAAAAGAATTCTGGAGACAGGCAGTCCCGGGAGGACATGGCAGCACTGCAGGGTCAGTAGAGAACTGGGATTCCTTTATCGTTTTGCTCTACCATCCTTAGCAGGGGACTTTCATTCTCAGTGTCATTTCATGGTGCAAACTGATCACTAAAGCTCCAACCAGAAGGGGAATCAGGGAGGCCAAAGGGAACACATTGCTGAGTTGAGTCGGTCGCCTTTAAGGAGTCTTCCTAGAAGATACAACCTATCCACGTGTCTCTCATTGACTGTATCTGTACCCTAGGAAAACAGGGAATGTATTATCTTGGTTAATACATTGGACCCTTGAATAAAATCTTGGTTTTGTTTCTAAGGAAGGAAGGGTGAATAGATAAGGGGTGAACAATTAGCAGTCTCTGCCATAGCCACACAGTTGTTCTGCCTTAAGCAAAGCAATTAGTCATCTCATATTCCTCAGTCATATTTTGTGAACCAAGTGGGTAGCCTGCCTGTCTCCATTAATGAATGGAAACTGGAGTCTCAAATCATCTTTCTCAGATGGCAAAATGAAGATAAAATCCAGAGACTGTTTCTCCTAATGCTTTGCTTATTCCATTGAGTCCCATTTTAGGGAAGACATTCCTCTAGAGGTTACATGTAAACACTGTCATGCCTTTTTAAAGTAACCAGGGAGGATGC